TGAGTTTTTGAGCTCTGAACGACCAAACATTAAATTGGCCTGTGAAATTGCAGGTTGGAGGAAGGATAGTAGAATACAAAGGACTGACATACGTAACTGTAAGAGGGGCTGGTCACTTGGTGCCACTAGACAAACCCAGTGAGGCCCTTGCCCTGATCACCTCCTTCTTGACTGGGAAACCCCTGCCTACACACAGGTACTCATATCCCTAACCTTGCAGAAATGGAACCAGTCTGCTGCCCAAACTTGAGTTATTCAAGTTTTCATGTCATCTTCGTCCTCGTCCTCAAGTGGATATGATAAGCCATGCCCTCTTGGAGTATTTATACTCAATATTGGTTGGCACTTGGCATTTCAAACATCAAAATCCTGAGATCAAAGTTACAATTTGGATCATTTAATTTGGGTGATTTGAATTTAGCATTTTCTTTACCATGTTTTTGAAGGACCATTTGACTTTGGCTGCGTGTGAATGCATATGTTAAGCATATTCTTATTCTACACGCATTTCTTTATCCTCAGCATATTCTATTCCTCCTGTATCTTTTCTTGCACTCATTACCAGATCATGGACAAATGGATATCCTTTGATTTCAGAAAAATTTTCACGTTTACAGGATCAGGAAAAAAAAACACAAGAAATGAAACAAATGAAAATAATTGTCCATCATTTACATCTTTAATTCCCTGATCTGCACCAGTTTTCCTCCTTCGATCCATCAACTTCATCCTGGAAATCCGAGGTCCGAGCTCCGAACAAAGACAGTGGAAAAGACCTGGACAAACCAACAAGTGTCTTGAACGTGATGAACCCAGATTGAGAATCATGCTCTTCCTCCACACAAATCTCAGTCAAATTGATCCAAATCATGAACTCCCTGGCTTTGACTCCCGTCAGGTTCTTAATCTTGTTAGGCTGAAAGTAAGCTGTGATCACAGCATCATAGCTGATGATTGTATCCTCAAACTTGTAGTATTCCCTCCTCTTCTTGTGCCGGAGCCATACAAACCCCGTGTCCTTCACATACCCGCACTCTTCTATGTCCTCCACCGTGAGCAGACTATTCGGCAAACCCATTTCCGCCAACAACAACGTGAACTTCTCCCTGCATGTTTCGTCCCCGTAATAAACCTCTGCTTTTGCCTTGGTTGCTTCTGTCACCGGCGACATCTTCCTCTTCCTTGTGAGATGTTTTACGTGTTCATATAGGCTGCAAGAGCTGTACAAATTATCTCTATTTTGGGTTTCTGATGGGACAAACCGTTTTGTATTGGTTGCTCTGGAATTTCGTGGCTATTGGGACTTGAGGTGGACGAGATATATTAGTTTATTTTAAGGGAATATGGAATTAGACATTTTATTTTATAATTAAAAATTAATGAGCGACGGATCTGCTCTATTTTTATCTATAATTATAAATTAGTTTTTTTTTAATATATACGACACGTGTTATAGATTTTTTTTATAATGCGTGTTAAGATTTAATTATTATATTTTTTACATTAACTAATATTAAAAAATAAAAATTAATATTTATTTAATTAAATATTTAATTAAAATAATTTACATAACATTAATGATAAATTTAATATATATTTTTTTTACATTTGATAATGATCCACTTTATAAAATGAGATGGCGATTCACCTTCCCGTATTCCTCGGGAATCATGTTAAATAAGCCCTTAAACTTGTAGACTGGTGGCGTATTAACCCCTCAACCAAAATAAGATACATTCAACACCCTACCAACGGTGGCAAAAAAAGCCCTTATTGAACAGGCCACGTCATTAGGTCGTTTAAAACTAACGATGAAAAGCTTTGGTGGGATCCACAAGCATTGTCGGAATTGGAAGCCATTTCATTGATGAGTTGGCTATTTATGTGATGATTAAGCAATCAGCCTGAACTTATGTGATTTAATTTAATTAAAATAATTAACGAAGCTAAAAGACAAAAATGTCTTTGTACCCTTCGTCCTCATCTCTCCTTTCTTTCTAGTCTCTGCTTCCTCTCCTTTCTCCCTCCTTCGTCCTTCCTTCTTCCCCCTCACAAACTTGCTATAGCAATCTGGTTTGGATCAGAGTTGCGGCTCATCGGAAAGTGAGCCGAGGTGTAGAACAAGATCTATAGGTTTCCGTGCAACAAGCTTAATCCAAAGAGGACCTTATGGCCGCTAAACAACAAGCTTTGGTCTACATCAGGCGGCAAAACTCCAGCAAAATTCAGCAAAACATAGTTTATGTTGGGTGGATTCCCAACAAGTTGTTGTAGAGTTGAGGTTTCAATCCTTGTGGTCGCTTGATTCTGTCTATGATTCCTTTGTTATTTTTATTGATTCACAGTTATGGTTAAAAAAGAGAATGTGCACTGTTAATGGCGATGATTACATAGTTTTTCTCCTTTCTTCTTTTTTATTTTTTTCCTTCTTTCCCTTCTCTATTATTCCTTTTCAATTCTGAGCAATCGTCTTAGTGGGTTCTTCAATTTGAATAAAAAACATGAATTTTAGGTGGTGGAATGGAATTTAGATAAAATTGGTGGAATTCATTTGTTTTCTGCAAATTTTATGTTTATTGTTATATGCTTTGCTGTTTGGGATGCTGGGATTTGATTTGATAGGCTTGCTAGTTGATTCTATTTTTTAGTGTAAGAGATTGTTGTAAATTAGTTTTGGAATAAATTAGAAGCATTTTTTACTTTTAGTCTAAAATGCAATGGTTGTTCGTTTAAAATACAAATTTAAATTTGTTATTTAAAGACTTTTATGAACTTTGAATCATGGTAATGTTCAAATTGTTTGTTCTTGATTAGTAAGCTAGTTGCCTAATTGTGAAATTGTGAGTTTTAGTTTTCTGTACAATTTTTTTTTTATACATTTGATTACGAATTATACAAAGAATAATAAATTTCCTCTATTTTTAAATCCTCCCTAATGTTTCCCAAGGCTATAATTTCTTGTTGAGTGTACCGTATTTTGAATTGATGTTGTGGAAGCTCTATAATGTGTTGAAAGAATTAATTTTTTAAATAGTGAACTTTTGAAACAACCCCTAAACATGCAGGGCCCTAGATCTGGAAAATCAGATAAAAAATATAGCTCGCAATTGTTGGTGCCTTGTTGGTGGTGGTCGCCAGAGCCGGACAGCCACCTGCTCCCTCCAGCCCATGGCCGTTCAAAAGAGCTGTTAGTTTTTCCATTTTTAACTTTTGATGTTTTCTTAAATTAAAAAAAAAAAATCAACGAATTGATGTCCTATA